CTAGCGCGTTAATTGATTTCGGCAATAAGCCGTGAGATACTATAAGATCAATGGATATACGTGGCATAGCGATTGTGCGGTAGATGACCGAGTACCTCATGGACACAGTTAGGTATGTATATTGGAATAAGACTTTATATTACGTATTGGAATAAGACTTTATATTACTTACTGTTTATTATAAAAATCTATTATATAGAATGCATTATAGTCTTTTTAAAATACCATCAATTTGCTGTCTAACCATTTGTGTATAATCCACGCTTTGTAATGTAGAGAGACCAGACCCTCCAACAGTGAACAGTGGCCTGACCTCGACAAATACTACCGTCATGTGCACCTGGTCTCTTCCGGCCTACCTGGGGAATCTACCCGTCACCGGAAGCCGCGTCCAGTACCGTGAAATTAGGGAGCAACAATGGAACAGCATCATAAAAGACACTACAGACACCAACTATGACATCACCGGACTAGATCCGTTCACCCTGTACGAAGTTAAAGTTGCCATAAAGAATGACCTGGGGTACAGCAATGACTCACTTGTGGCACATGTTTGGACAGCTGAAGCAGGTATTTTCACATTAGCTTATCACATATTGTTGACCAAAAATTCAGTGTGGTGATCTTTTATCATTGTACATTTACATTCAGTGGTATGACTTCATTGTATGAAATCAAAGATCTTCATGCGAAACTGAGCATGTCAAAACATGCAATGTTATACGTTTCTTTGTCTTCAAATTCATCAATTCACACCACAGAACTGCTATTTTGTCACATCTAAAATGAAAACCATACACAAACTCAAAATCACTTAAAAACTAAAATGAAATACCTGAACCAAAATTATTACTGAGCTGGAACATATATAAATTTTTACCCCAACACTTGTAAAGGAATATGTTTACACATGAGACACATAAACACGCTTAAATCTCTCCTCTTGTTCTTTCAGCACCAGGCAAGGTTGAAAACCTAACCGTACAAGGGATCTCTGGAACCGAGGTGAAAGTTATGTGGGGTCCGCCCGACCCCATTAAACCTAAAGGCATCATAATTAACTACATGGTTACTTACAAAAGGGCAAATGAGACTTCAGAAAGTTCTCCGGTCACAACAGATGGAAACTCTACATTCTACTCGATCGACCGACTACAAACAGATGTGAACTACACCGTGAATGTCTGGGGTGTGACGTCGGCAGGGCCTGGGCAGGTGGCAGGCATAACATTCCTGTTTGAATACAGTAAGAAGCAACTACTTTCCAATTTACATGTGCCAATGCCATTTAAAGTTATGTATATATTTTTTCTCATGTTACACTGAAATACTCTTTTTAAGTTGTTTGCCACCGGTTCACCACATCACAATTCTTAATTCAAATTGCAGCAATACTCGTGGAGCACTAGGCAGTAATTCAGCTGTATTATTGAGAAATTCCTTAAATGAGTCACCTAGCAGAATCGAAATTTGCTTTGCACAAAGAGGTCCTACGGTCAATACAAAACAGATGCACTCACAATCATTTATCTTGTATGATAGAAACAAGTAGTTTTTTTTTTATAAATTCATCCAACAAAGGACTAATTCTATCCATTTTTCGACAGTTCCAAGTCCACCCCGAGCCATGACAGCAGAAAACACCGGTCCCTGTTCCTGTGTGTCCGGCAGCCAAACCGACAGGTCCACAGTACGAGTCTCCTGGGATCAACCTGAACACCCAAACGGGAAGATTCTAGGATATCGCCTGTCATACTCCACTGAGGATGGAACTTGGACAACTATCGAAGCTGCCAGCAGTCCCAAAGAGATATCCAACCTTCAACCTTACAAGACGTATTCAATAAAGGTGACTTATTCATTCATCCATACATATGATGTTGTCAAATGCATAGGTAGTGTTTATATCTAACATGTATTTTCAAGATTTATTTATCTAAAAACTAGACCAAGCTTTCATGAATTAAACTGACAAGATAATAGTCAGACAACATTAATTATCGTTATTGATAAAAGTTACTCACTAATAGGTAGATTGATATCATTACATAATTATGATGGTAATGGTCAACATTGAGCAATAAAGTCACTCGATTACACTCTTTGCATTTCTTGGTACATGTACTTCAGGTCAAAGCATACAACTTGCTTTTCCAAGGAGAGGACAGCGAGGTGTTTACAGTAGAGACCAGTGAAGGATGTAAGAACAGTTTTGCTCGATTACGATTGACATGAGAAAAATGTCTTCAACGTGTACCGAAATGTTTTTCATGCTTTTGTAATTTGCATTTTACATTTGATGAACTTATATCATGCACAATTCACGTTATCATTATGCACTACCCTATTCAGTTTATCAAAGCAATACTGGGTAATCTAGCTTTGATTAACACATGTCAAAACATACTTCTTTATTTTATCTCTCAGGCCCAGGACCACCTCTGAATCTTCTAGCTGACCAGAGCGATAGCACGTGTACCGTCAGCTGGTCTCTGCCGAATGTCACTAATGGGAATCTCAGCAACTACAAGGTACACTTCTAGTTTATGATCCCATGTTTGGTTGTTTATATGGCAGTTTCCTTGTTCCAAATTGAATAGGCATCACCTATATATGATTCTTCCCCTATTAAATACACACAAACGTACACAACTGTTTAAAACGTGGTAGAGCGCCAAAGATAATGATATTATCATTAATCATTATTGGTATTTATCATAACTTAATTTTATTGTTTGATATGCGACTGTATGTGTTCTACTAGTTTTATTTATGTGCCACATGTAGGGCCCCACTGTTAGCCACTGAGTTGAGCAACTCTGAATAAAATGAGGGGAAAATAAATAATATCATCATATCATTATACTATATAAGTATTTTCATATGAAAATAAATAACAGTGCCATTCCAATTCTGCGACTCCCTGGCAATCTAAGAAGTAACGGTATTTGCCCACGAAAAAGATGGGTGGCTACTGGCTTGTGACGATTTCGTTCAGAAATGTGACCTTAACTGCCACAAGTTATCAGATACATGAAGATTGTAGCATACAATTAGTCTGGGTACCATCCTCCGTACCCCAGCGACAGCGGAAACTACAGAGGATGGCACCCAGGCTAGCATACAATGTAGCAGCCTTGTACTTGTAAAGGAACTGATTCTGCTATTTAGGTCGCTGTTAGTACCACCAGGCTGGAGACAGGCTCGATAAATGACGTTGACGCTGAGCCTGAACATTTGACGACATCAGAAGTACCAGACCTAACCTGGACAGAGTCCTTAGCAGCTCTTCCCGCCTACTCATTGGTCCACGTCACCGTTCAGGCTCAAACCTGTGCGGAGGGAGAAAGGAGCGAGATGGCAACCTGCACAGTTCGGAGGACAGGTGAGCGACTGTTACAAAAATAGCTGCCATGCTGTTATTTATTCTATCCCTTTTAATTAAAATAGTAAAGACTCGAGGACCGATACATCATCTTTTGGTTTAATCATTTGTCTACTACATCTCTTAAAGAGCCACCAGATATGGTCCCGAATGTGACTGCTGAAGAGGCAACGTTAACTTCCAGTACCTTCACCATCCTGTTACCCGGCATAAGCGAGCGAAATGGACCTATAAGGTATGGGTGTTGCTTATAAGTAGATAACACAGAAAAGTAAAATCATTATAAATTTGATCCGTGTTCTCCTGAAGTACTGGAGGTAATTCAGATCAGACAACTTACATGTCTTTTTTTAACCCAGTTGTTACCAAGTCATAGTTGTACCAATGCGGAAGGATGAAACACTTGATGAGCTGACTGACAGGGTTGGACAGCCACAGGACGTCCTGACGGATTCTGCACTGGAGGACGGAAAAACAGAGCCGTACATCGCTATCGCCTACTCAGGGTACGCATTGCAATAAACTGCCGTTTTTATATAAGAAAATATTATAAGATATCAACATATACTACAAACTTGCATGAATTGAAACACTCCCAAAACAAAAGATGTAATGTTATACCAATATATTTGTCACAATAATTTCTTCTTTTTGATATAATTGTTTGCTCACATGGATACAGGTCCAGCTACCAAGAAGGATCAGAAGTGACAATAGGATCTGGTGAACCCTGTGAAGACGCCACGTGTTGTAAGAGAGGTGTAGTACAGGAAGCACCAGAACCGGGTAACAGGAAACTGACACCAGGGTCTACCTACACAACAGTCATCCGTGCCTACGTGGGTGCCACTGAGGGGAGAAAGAGAAAAAGGGCAACTTCCGGGGTATTAAGCACTTCCCATTTCTTACACGATTCCTCACCTTCATCATCGGACATAGTCTTAACAAAATTGGAGTACATATATAAAAAGTGCTAATTATCTTAACTAATTTTTTTCAAATTGAAGTCATACTATTATCTGAAAGAAACCATCAATATAAAGAATGGAATGTTGGCATACATACATAGACCTGCCGTGCTATTGATTTGTTAAGTTACTGTACTTACTTATTCGTGTCTTATTCAATCATACTTGACTTTGACTGACACATTGACCAGCTGATAATACAACTGTTCACCGTTGATATATGCTCCTATAGCTAGCCAGCCTTACCTTGCCTTGCACTCCCTTTTACCAGACTCACAAATCGTCAGCATACAGCAAACCAGTAACCACAGGTAACTGCTACTCATTATCATTAAAACTAATAGACATTTTTCTTGGAATGGCTTATAGACCAGTCACGCAAATCCCGAAAGTGAGTTGCTATCTGTAGTCATGTGATTTGTTTCCATTTTAGTGTGCACTAAATTTTCTAATGTGCCACTGATGAGTATGACTCCACTGATGTGGATGTTGAAAGAGAGGGGGATAGATTATGAATTATACCCGATTTCTTTATATCGATTTCTTCATTGCAATCAAACATCCTATTGTGTATCCTATCATTACATTAACACCTTTCTTGATGGTAAGTCTAACTGACAAACGTTTTGGAACACACTTAGCCGAAGGTTCTCCAGTTAACGTTGGAGCGATTGCCGGAGGAATAGTGGGGGCGCTGGCGGTTCTTTGTATCGTAGGCGTGGGCCTATTTTTTTACAGGTAAGATTATAAAACGACATCATCTTTGTAACATATACAATTTATACACTCATTATCTTAATTGGTTTTTATTCTTGTTGAACTGTTTCCAATTCAATAACATTTCCGCACATGTAGTGTGATTTTCAGTGTCTCCTGATATAAAACGTACTGTTTAAATTTGCATTATCAAGGAGGCGTCTGGCAGACAGTGGCGACAGCCCGCTAACCAAATTACCTCGCCGGTCACCAAAGCAAAGGTCAGTGCCGGAGGACGACACCCAGATGGGGGCGATCGGACCGATGGACGAGGAGGCGGTAGAAGTGAAGAAATCTCCTGCTCCAAAACCGAAGCCCAAACCCAAAAGGCCAAGTAAGAGATGTCCTATATCTGTCTATTTGCAGATACATATATCTCTAAACTTGGGATTCACTTCAGAGAATTATTTATTCTATAGACCAATGCACACATTTTCGTTGTACCAGGACATCTTGTGTCTTGTCGCCTTCTGTTCACTGTCTTCTTGTGGTCCTAGCTAATACGAGTATAACTCAACAATCATCAGCAACATTTAAAATCATGTTAGCAATGACTTTACATGCAATTGCAGAGACCGTTCAGGGAAATCAGACACTAGACAATGCTATGCATCAATCATTCCCCATTTTGGTAGGATCTGGAGCAGGCATCCGTAACCATTATCTGTGAACACTGATTTGAATCTTACCTAATCTTTTGTAGGCAGAAGTGGCGGCGCCTCACCGTCCTTAGCCCTGCGTCAGCCCATCCCGATCAACAGGCTGGAGAGGGAGTTCACCAGGCGTCACGCTAACGACGACCAGCTGTTTGTGGAGGAATACAGCGTGAGTACTTCATTTTGGACGATACGAAAAGGTTACCATTGGCAATGAATGAAACGAAACCAAATTTTATCTTCGGAAGTGGGTGCTGGTGTTGACGGCTTGGTGGTGATGAGAAAAAACGATCTAATGTGTTTTTTGTATTGTTGAATTCTCCACATTTTGCGATTTTTATGATACCTGACTGCACTATTGCACTTTGCAGTATCTGCCTAAGCCGTTTGGAAGAGACCATGCAGAAGCTTACTACAACGAGGAAAATGCCTCCAGGAACAAGTTTAGAAACATCATCGCATGTGAGTGATAGTCTAGTGTACAGTTTCATAGCTGCATGTACTAAGTCCCATCTTATATCGATTGATGCATGAGCAACACCTAAATCAATATTTGTATTTGAAAAATATTAAGCTTTGTATGCAGTTGTGTTGCATTTTCGATTGATTATATTTTATATTTTCTTTACCAGATGACAGGGGCCTTGTGAAGCTGACTCCAATCGAAGGGGTTCCAGGATCAGGCTATATCCATGCCTCTTACATGGATGTAAGACAGTACAATATGTCCTACGAAATAAGCATTCATGCCTTAGTCTCACAGTAACACTTAATAAATGTGTTTTTTGAAGTTATGTGCCCTTTCCCAAAAAGAATCTGCTTTTAGCTAACATCACAATGACCTAATTGCCTTTTCCCATCATCACAGGGATACCAGGAGCAGGGCAAGTTTATTGCTGCCCAGGGTGAGTAACATGGCAAAATCAACAAAGTTAATGTTGATAGTTTGTAAGGTTGTGCTGCAAGCAAGGTTTTGGTACAGACTTTAACTTGCACAAAACGACCGTAACTGTAGCAGTCAAGTACACATAAAACCATAACATTAGAGGTAACAGACAACACCAAGCAACTCCTGCTTGGGTGAATTATATCAGCCTACTTGATGTCCTGAGATACTAGTATTATGATGGTTTTGAGAACGCACAAGGCCAATAAACACTTGGCATACACCGGATAACCATTGTGTATTTGGGTAGGCCCTATGGAGAACACCATCGCTGACTTCTGGAGGATGATCTGGGAGACAGGTTCAACAGCAATCGTCATGGTAACCAACCTGGAGGAGAATGGCAAGGTAAAGACTACCAAAATAAACTGTGTTAAATTGTCAAGAATCCGATAAAATATGCGAAACATATGTAACTTTAATGTTCTACTTACCTTGCAGAAAAAATGCTCAAAGTACTGGCCCGACAGTGGAGAGAAGACCTACAACCCCGGCGGGGGATATGGAACGTTAACTGTAAAACTTGAGCAAGCTGTGCCGATGGTGGACCACGTCACTCGAGTATTCCTGCTGAGCAAAGTATGTTTTACATTCAATGATAGTTCAAGAAATCACTTCAGTATTTCAGTTCACTTTAAAATTTATTTGAACTTGATGGATTTCAGAAGATTGCAATGTACAACATTTTGCTGCCTACTTGGTCCAAAATGAAAGATTTTTTATTAATTCCAACCACAGGCAAGGGAGAGGAGAGTGCGCAAAGTCACTCACTTCCACTTCATCGGATGGCCAGACTTTGGGCTGCCGAAGAGCCCCATGGGATTGCTGAAGTTCCGGAAGACCGTGATGTCGTCTTTGACCTCCAACGACAGACCAATCGTCGTGCACTGCAGGTAAAAATAGCATTTTTTTTTTGGTAAATACTAGGTATCAATAAAGACATCCACATCCATATTACGAGAGCTTATGGAATGTATTGAACTTGAAACGTACAATTGAAATGACTTTAATCGTTCATTTCTTTACACAGTGCCGGGGTGGGCCGTACCGGTACTTTCATCACCGTGGACGCCATGTTGGACATGATCAAGGAAGAGGGGAAGGTGGACGTGTTCGGGTTTGTGGAGAAGATGCGTCAGAACAGGAGCTTCATGGTGCAGACTGAGGTTATCGTCTCCCTTTGTATCTGCTCTGTGGTCATGTTTGTTTGGTGCATGGTGAAACTCCTTGTAACACTTGAATCATAGACCTTCAATCTGTAAGGACTTTAGCTTCTTGATCTAATATGGCTATTTTTTCATTGATGCTCAAGGCTCAGTACGTGTTCATCTTCAAAGCCCTCTTGGAAGATTACCTGTACGGAGACACGGAAAGTGAAGTGGCCAACATCCACCGCTACATGCAGAAACTCAAGATGGAGGATCCTCAGACTGGCGTATCTGGGCTCGAGACTGAGTTTGGGGTAAACGTCATACATTGTACTATTAACGATAGATGTGAAAGGAAACATATTTCTTGCAAAGATGATTATAAACCAATGATGTGTATCTTTTCTTTGCACAAATGCCAATGTCTTTTCAGCTATAGCCTTATTGCTTGTGTGCTTTAGATGCTATTACATGTAGTAAAATAAGTGTTTTCAAACAACAAAGGAAGTTTTTAATAACCTCTTTCTTTCGTGTTCTCATTTGTTTCTCGTCCCTATTGTAGAAGCTGACCCGCATCCCCATCGACAAAGCCAACATGCGGTCCGGGAACCTGCCGGAGAACCTGTCCAAGAACAGGGTGCTGCAGGTCCTGCCGTGTAAGAGTCAACCAGGATTATTTAGCAATGTGCACATGTACTGTTAGTTTGGTAAACAGTTATTCCCATTGTAGTAAGGTTGTAGATGATCCAATATGTTGTCTCCTATCATAGTCCCTCATACAACTAGGTATTGTTTAGGTATAGTTTGGTTTGTTGATAAAACATTTTCCTTTCCCTCCCAGACGACACCACCCGAGTTTTCCTACAGCAGAAGCCAGGTGTGAAGGGATCTGACTACATCAACGCTTCCTTCATTGATGTGAGTTATTGGCCATGGTTTAGGATACGTTTAATGTTAATTTCCCACTTATGTAGCTAGGGAAGACAGATATATAATTGCCCTATATCAAAATCTGTAACTGCAGTATCGTGGGAGCTGCAAATTATGCAACACTGGTCTGATTTATGGAAAATGCAAAAGAAAGAAGGACGAAGGCCATAGTGTGTAATTTCTTACATCTAGGTAATAAGAGGTAACTTCGCTGTGTTGCCTCATCACATACGGTTTTTACAATAAGGGAACAAGTTGAACAAGCTAGAGACAAACAAAACCATGGTTCCTCCCACAGGGCTACAACATGAAGGACGCGTACATCGCTACCCAGGGCCCGCTGGACCGGACTGTGGAGGACTTCTGGAGGATGGTGTGGGAGTGGAACTCCTGCTCTGTTGTCATGCTGACTGAGATCAAGGAGAAGAGTCAGGTAGGTGAAACAATTTCCTTCGTTTAGTGTAAATATTTGAACGATAATGATGGATTATAATATTTGTCATGAAATATTTGGCAATGAATGAATGAAGACCAAAGGATTCATTAGCTACAGGTGACAACAAAAAATGGTTTACAGATACATGTATATGTACTCAAGCTAGCACTTATTTGTGTTAGCTGGAAGACATGTTAAAAACATGTTTAACAGCCAACACAAGCATCTACAAGCCCAGAAATACCAGGCGTATACTAACGTTGGTACTAGTACTACAGTCTGGTAAGTTGATTCTACTTCTCCCAATTTTGTGATCTTATTTACATACATACTAACTGTTTGTGTGTTATTATGATTCTATAGAACAAGTGCGCCATGTACTGGCCGGAGGATGGCAGCCAGTCTTTTGGCGACTTCACTGTGTCTCTTCAAGACCAGACTGACTACCCTGACTACACCCTGCGTACCTTCCACCTCACTAAGGGCAAGGTATAGTATTCATTACAACAGTACTAAACTTACTTAGAGCTAAGCATACAGATCAGGGCAAACATTATACATACTAAGATAGATTCTATGGATCAACAGTTTGGTCTGTAAAGTCAGCACCTAGTCCAACCCATTAGTGGTAGGATATTTTGTAAGGAACCCATTGATGAATAATACTACATAATACTTTGGACATCAATTAGTTTGTCAGCTAATCAGTCTAATTGCAAAGAATGGTAGCATTAGAACAAGTGACAATTACATAAATAACATATTAGTGATGTATGATGAAAAGTAAATCGTTTCTCCAACTGCCCAACAGGGAGGAACAACCCGTACCGTGCAGCAGTTCCACTTCCACGGTTGGCCGGAGGTCGGTATCCCTGACAACGCCGCTGGGATGATCGATCTGATTGGTCAGGTTCAGAAGCAGCAGCAGCACTCTGGGAACGGACCAATCACCGTGCACTGCAGGTACGATAGTATGTGATCTTACCACTTGTATGAAGGACTAAGTCACTATGTACTTATCTGTATATTGAGTAACCAATACTTATTTTTAAGAAGTACGTGTAATATGTAAAGCTTAGCACATCGTACAATGAGCAGTGTTCAATTTGCGAGCATTCAGGCACTAACATACCTAAACTTCCCAGTTGTGGTTGACAACAATCTCTCTTGCAGTGCCGGGGCCGGCCGCACGGGGGCGTTCTGTGCCATCAGCACAGTACTGGAGCGGGTGAAGGCAGAGGGAGTCTGTGACGTGTTCCAAGTGGTGAAGGCACTCCGGCTGCAGCGGCCTCACATGGTGCAGACACTGGTCAGTACTGATTCTAACAGCTCTAAAAAGATTCGGTGCACCAAAGCAGTTCAAAATAGTAATTGAAGCAGTAAATTGTAATACATGTACATGTATTGGAATTGTCAATATTGGAAAATGATACTAATATTGTAGAATGCCAAAATAGATTCCAACGAAAGAAGAAAATGCAAAGAAATGAAAATTAAGACTTTATTATTCAACTTTATGACCACCTAGATTTCATCTTGAAGGCAACTTTTTGCCAAGTTTTTCACTCGCACGCTCGCATCAGTTTTGGGGTTCCCAAAGGATGTCATCCATAGAATCAAATCAACATGGCCCAAGCTATATACTAGTATGTTTTCATATCTCTTCCTTTACAGGACCAGTACCAGTTCTGTTACCAGGCTGTTGTGGAGTACCTGGACAGTTTTGACCACTACGCCAATTTCCGCTGAAGAGTCGTGTGGCACCTGAAAGCTTTCGACAAGAAATGTCAGAGTTCAGACAAAAAACGATCATCAGTTGAAGACTTACTATACTGTGTATCTTAGTGACAAACTTTGATTATATGCTTTAAGCATGGATGGTTTCACAGCTTAAATAGATGCAAAACACCAACTATATTAGCATGAAATTTCATCTTTCTTGGTGCAAGTCATTAAGTAAAGACTAAACTAAACTATAATGAGGCATATGTAGGACCCGCTACTACGGTCACGTGTCTCTGATGTCACGTTCCAAGTGTAGACGGGTCCATTCCGTGAACAAGGTTGAAGGAATTAGTCGAAAATTTGGGTAAGTCCAATTCGTTCCAGTGTTGGAGATGAAATATAGTCTTTACTTCATAGCAGCAATATGAATTAGGTTTCTCACTTTTAAAGTTTTGATGTAGCGATGCCATTTTAACTAATCAAATCAATCATTGTTAATAAGGATCAAGATTGTATGCTTCAAAAATTCATGCACTAGTTGATATGAAAGAGATATTTGCTGTTGTCTTCTGAAGATGGTTTACAGTTTAATGAACAGGGGAGTTAATTCCATTTCACTAAATTCCAAACGGTATGTCCAGAATACCAAGCAAATCCTCAGTACAATTGTCTACATTAATGTACTCTAATGAGGATATCTGAAAAAAAAAACTACACAGAGTATCTTACAAATAACACAGATTACAACCACAAGAGACCAGGAATGACAAATCTAGATGACTTTTATTCCGATATCTACAAAGGATATTATAACCTCAAGACACAGATGGATTCCGAAGAAGTGCTACCACATCAGGAATGATTGGTCGAAAAAAAAAGTGAAAATCAATTTCTTCTATCAAGGCTACCATCATCAGATGCTTTTTGTGTCGCAGAGCATCACCTCTGTGTTTCTAATGGTTAAAGCCCACTTTAACTTTTACGTTAATGCACATAAGTCTACATTTGTATGGACGTGGGTAGGAAATAGTATGAACCAGTCAAGTATCATTTGGGAAGAGGATCACGTCTGTATTATCTGTTTGAGCAAGTTCTTTTGAATTGAGAAGGCAGATCATTTACCCTGTCACAACTGGTTTGTAGTCACTTAAATCCAAACATCTGGTTGTAGATGACATATTTTCTCTCCTTAAGATTAAATCAAGTATTGAATCTGTACCTTTTCTGTGTCTTGACATCTACAGTGTTGTGTATTTACAATATTGACAATGCAGAAATTAACATGATCATTCCATTCATAAAAGTGTAGAACATATCCTATTATTAACATGCTTGAGGCCACCTCCTTGTGATGGCAACACATAGTTAGCTGGCATGTAGAGCTTCAATACTCGAAAAATATTACACATACTTGGTAAAAGCAATGCTTGTAAATTATATGAACACATGGACGGATTAAGCTTAAGCATTGTTCCCTATAGGTAAAATTAGTATCAAGCAAATAAAAACAAAACCATGACTTAATATAACATGAGATCAGTGACGTTCACACTGCTGCAATTCAGTCATTACTTGCCAGATTGTGCTGTACAGTGTGTCAAATTCTCTCAAGGAAAATACCTAGTATTCATTTATAAACAGTCTCCACACAAAACAAACTATGTGAAACATTACTTTGACAACTGAGACAAAAAAAGACATAAATAAACTACCTGTGACTTGAATGCCAAAGGTGCATGAGGTTTAAGATTTCCAGCTTCTTTATGGTAAACAATCTGGCATGTTTTTGCTGAGAAGTGACATAGCAGTGTTAGATATTCTATAAACTTTAAGCAACAATAAAATCTACATGACAACATATTATATATCTACATAAATTGTTGAGAAATCGTAAGCAAAGGCAGAAGCTTTGTAATCTTGATCTTTTAGCACATAAAGTCTACATTTGGCTTTCTATGGCCCATCAAAATCAATATAGAACTGGCATGGCAATATTGTCCATCTCAGTGTGTGGTAAACAATCTGTGAGAATAGTGTACCCTGTGTTTGACATATGCAATTGAAGTTCCCAATTTTCTATCAGCACATTAGTGTCTGTATACAATGTACATGTATTGCACATGAAAACATGGAATGCCAAAAACAGGGATACCAAAGTTCAGGGAATAGCCAAAGAATATATCCCAAGAAAAAGGATTTCAAACAAATTCTAGCAGAGAAGCATGGCCTACCGTACATGTTTATCTTACATTAATGTACAAGACACATTTACATACTATTAGTATCGTTTCTTTCTGATGGTCATATTAGCACACTTATGAATCGCATCTACAAAAATAGCACTTTGATAACAGTTCTTCTTATACATCTATGTGATCAAATACTACATTGTACATTTCTGAAAGGCACAACACTTCAAAAGGTGTGATGTAATGCTACTAGCTGTTCTAGGCATTGTGAATAGAAATATGTCTACCATGATATGACTGGCCTGTCTCCCAATGAAAGATGTTACCTCAAAATATCCCTTTTTGTGATACGTCTTGAATCTTACATACATGTAACAGTGGGGTTCAAGTGCCACCAACTGGCCAGTTTAACAGGCTCAGACCTTTTAGCCTTGCGGTTAGCGCATTGGACTTGTGAGCTGGCAGCCCGGGTTCAAATCCCGGGAGCCAGAAGACTGTGCTACTTGCCCCAATGTGTTTCAGTGGTTAGGATTTGTGGCTTTCACCCACAAGGACCAGGTTCGATTCCCGGCATGGAAACCACTCAAAACACAAAGGGGCGAATCTTGGCTCCTGGGATTTGAACCCCAAACCCAATGCACTAACCACAAGGCTAAAAGGTCTACACCTGTTAGCCTGGCAACTTGGTGGCACTTGAACCCCACAGTTACAAGTCAGTCTTAAGCTTCCTTTCATTTGCAGAGTGAAATCTACACCTGTGCTACTTGTACATGTCCAAGTCTAAGTCCATGTATGCCTTTTCAAGAACACTTTTTCAATAACCTCTTTTTTACGGAAACACCAAGTTCCCTCAGCCTTAAGAGACTAGCACCTACACAGGAGATATTTGTTAGGTTTGGGATCTTCTGGTAAGTTTGACAAACCCTGTTCAGGTGGACAGACATGTGCTGACTGTTATGACAGATAAAAAGGACTCTGTTTGTTTGTTTGACAAGCAAGCTGCTCATGATATAACAAAGCCTTCACGTTTCTCTGTCTACCAGTCGTGCAAAGAAAAAAAACCTGCAGTGCAACGCTCCGGAAGTCCAACATATTACTAGTAGCTCAGAAACAAACACTTTAAATCTTTGAACTCCCAATTTTGGCGGCTGTCTGGGGCACCTACTTACAACTTGAAAAGTTTTAAAAGTGCATACACTAATCAAGAGGATGTGACGTGCAGATTGGCGCAGCTGCAATATTTGTTAAAACTGAATACAGTAGCCAGCTTGACGATTCATCTCTGACAGAAGGCAAAAAATGAACCTCAGAGTAGCAGCAACAGCACTTAATATTGCCATGGTCGGTAGCATTAACATTAAAAGCTACTTTCTCGGATACGTTATGAAAGCCATGCCAGGTACTTTCTGTAACCTGGAGCACTACTCAGATGCAGATGTTACAAAATGGTGGATACAAAACTACCACTGCAAGGCCATACCAATTCAAGATTCTTTGCTTACGATTCAATAAGTCATTCTTTGCAATGCTTCCCAAACTTTTTACTTCTTAGATATGCATTTTGTACAATATAGCACTGTTTTGAACCACTGAGGGGATTTTACTGGTATGGCCTTACGGACATTTAAGACACTGACGGTGAAAGGTGGAATGCTCAAGTTCGTAGTGATTTTTTTGTAGCTGATACATTAAAGGGTTATTGTCACAGCAAAACTGTTTTCTCTAAGAACATTCAGTAAGCTTTAGGATGGACACTTCACAGTGAAACCTCTCAACATTGCACCCTATCCGTCTAGTCGTTCTACCTTCCAACTTTTTACAAAAGATTTGATGATACAAATTCCACAACTTTTTAGGCCTGGTATGGGGGCAAATGCAGAATTGATGATGCTTTCATAGACCTACTGTTATCAACTTCACAAAACTCAATGTGCTTTGACAATCCCAGCAATTTTATCACACATATATTTGGGCCATTGCACACCATGCACATATGTACATGTAACCCAGGGCACTAGCCAGTACCTGTTTGTCCATCAATTGCAGGAACGTTGTGGTGTGTGACGGAAATTTTTTAAAACCAATCTGTCAACCCTGATGGACAAAAGTAACAAAATCTTGAAACTTGGGAAAAAAAAAAACATCCAAAGGACTCCAACAACCACTTTCAACCCCATGATTTGACAATTGCATTCATTAAAGGCTAATGAAAATCCAAAATTTGTCCCCCTACCTCTAAAATTGCGAGCACTCTCCAATCATGAACCTGGGCTGACATAAAAGATTTTGACCTTGGTGTAACATTTACTGTTACATCAAAGAAGGCAACATCACTCTGCATTTGCCTACATACAAGTTTCCATGACCTAATGGCCAAAACAAATCCAGGTCAGTGCTATTGCACCCATCTCACTATACAGAGTTGTAGACTTGTGGTCTACACACATGCAAACAGTCAATCAACACATTGACATTGTCATGACAACACAAAACAAACAAACAACAACAAAGACATTAAAAACAACAACATATCAAGACCATTGCCTAACACAGATTTAAAGTTAGAACATCTTTCTGCATTTTATAACACACAAATTTAGGACCTATGATGATTGGTTGAGAAGCGATTCTTACTGCTGTGACCTGATTTTCATATGTTTACAAGGCCTCTAGAACTACATACTATGCCGGAGAAGTCTCGCTTGTACTTTTTTTTCTTCATATCCACAACAGAGACCACGATACTTTCATCATAAAATGGTGCAGAGTTTTGAATTCTTGGTTTCCTTTTTCTTTGGTGCTGCAGACTTGCTCTGCTTCCTGTTGACCTGCGGCGGCCCGTTCAGCATGTGGTTTGTGAGCGCCTGCTGCGAGTGTTTCTTCTGTACCTTGTGCAGGACTATCCTGTAGGTGCCTGTTATACAGCTGCGGGAGTCCTTGCCTCGGCTCTGTTCCAGGTGCTGGTCCGTGATGCCGAGGTCACGCAGCACCATGCGCGCCTCGTGTTCCTCGTGTCGCAGGTTCTCCTTGGAGATGTCCGCGGGGTTGAGGTGATAATCGTCGTGCGGTTCGGGAAAGTGCTGCCCGCGCAGCCACTCCGACTCCATGATCTGCTGCACAGACAGCCTGTCCACCGCAGTCGGCTGCAGGATGTTCCTGATCAGAGCCTGGCAGCTCGGAGAAACGAACCCCGGGACGGAATAGTGCCCCTCCAGGATACACTTCTTCAGTTTAGCCACCGTCTCCGCCCTGAAAGGCATCAGTCCCGTCACCATGAAATACAACATGACCCCGAGAGCCCAGATGTCCACATACACGCCGAGGTAACTCTCGTCCTTAAACAACTCGGGCGCGGCGTACGGCGGAGAGCCACAGAACGTGTTGAGCGTCTCGTCCAGACGACAGTGAGTGCTGAAGCCGAAGTCGCCGATCTTCACCATGGCGGGAGTTGCATAAAAGACGTTCTCGGCCTTCAAGTCCCTGTGGATGATGCATTGCTCATGCTGCAAGAAAGGACAAGGAACATCTCAGTCGGACTTGTCACGTGGCTTCTATCAAGTTTGACATCAACACTGGGTCAAAGGTATCCGGTAAATGATGTTGGTCCCCGTCGTAGTTGAGTTGTTCTATGTCTTTGACCCAGTGTTGACGTCACACTTTAAAGAAACCATATGACAAGTCTCACTGGGTCAGTATACTGAAGAAGACCAGAGTGACTGGTTGAAACCTCGAGGTGAGAACATTTCCTTTTGTGTTGGAAGAAAAGTTTTACCTCTAAACATATAACTACTAGCACAGATGAACTTCCTTAGATGAACTTTCTTGATAGTCAGTGTACTTTGTTTTGTTTCAGGATTTGGAATTGATGTGAAAGTTCTTTGTACGGAGTTTGATGTTTTTCTAGAGTGTAGAAATTGATTGAAATTCGACTGGTTGAAAGCTCTAGGTGAGAATGTTCCCTTTCGTTCTGGAACAAAAGTTTTACCATTAAACAAACTACAGTAACCCTGTCTGACCTACCATGTGTTTGACAGCTGACACGACCTGTGCAAACAGAGCCCTGGCATCGTCCTCTTGCAGTTTCCCATCAGTGGAGATTTTAGTGAAGAGCTCCCCTCCTGGTGCATACTCCATCACTAGGTGCAGCTTTGTTAGGGTTTCCACTACCTGAAAACAACAACAATGTCCAGGATACTGTAAATCACGATTCTTTTCATGTTCACGCTCAACACGTTCTTGCTACATTTGCAGCTTTTGCCGTCACTTCTGTACCAAAAACATATCATTACTGTTAACAAATAATTCACCGACTTTCTTTTTGCTGCACCTGCTGCCACCTTGAACCTACAGTTCCGCGAACATGTCCGTTTTCTAAGACTGCGACCTTTTTGCTACAGCAAACATAAAGTCATTTACGATATTCAATTGTTCTTCACTACAAAAGAGTGCAGTTTGCCTTATATAACATTTGAATTACACAAGGACCAATGGATTGTCAATCACTCCTTAATAAATTTTCCGAGAAGCAATTTGTACTAGTACATAAAGAATCAATAATCATGACGTTACATGCATCTTAACCAAAGATAAGCTCAAAATCTATGTAACTGATCTTGCATTGATGCAGTACTTCCTTTTACATGCCTAGCTGCCGTATACATGTATCTTACATCATCATCACGAGACACAAAGTGGCAGAACTGACCTCGTATAACCTGATGACATTGGGATGTCTGAGTTTCTCCATGCTGGAGATCTCTCTGGATAGGAGCCTCTGGGTTTTCTGGTCCAGTTTGGTTTTATCCAGGATCTTCACTGCTACTTTTTCTGTGGAGCAAACACAGCAACAAACATCCATCCAGTCAGTGAAACTGTCTCAGAGCAATAACAGCCATAGGACTGAAATATTGTTTCTTACATGAACATTTGATGGGGCAAAAATTGTGCCACCATGTCACATAAATTCAAATTGATGGCTGCACAAAGAGGTCAACATTATTTCAATATCTTAGTAATGAATTTGTATACTAATCATTTCAAAGCATACAAGTAAGTTGTCTCTGGGTTATACAAGTACATTGTAGTTATGATTGAGAGTCAGTTAATAGATTATTCACTAGCAGAAGATGTCAGAATTTGATGCATTCATCTAATTGTTCTCTACTTCCTTCCCCTCTCTTTGATAGAATATCCATCCAAACCAAATTGTATACAATCATGTACAGTATCAGCACCTAGTACATTCATTTCAAGCATAATACATCGCACTGGGACTCTTAATAAAACTCTACATTCAGTGATAACAAATGTACCGATGCACCTATTTGGAAATTTCCACTGTCAAAAGCCCTGCCTCCCCCACATTTACTCTACATAAAGAAGTGTCATTAATCTATACTTGCTGCTTTTTGTAGCACACGCTTATTATATGTTATGTCCTGACATTTATACAGTAGAAAATCCTTGACATTAGGCCACATCAATTTAATTTGTTGGTTCTCGGATTCGCCTCTCCGTTTTTTTCTGATTTGCAAAAAAAAAAAAAATTGATTCTGGTCCTGAATCAACTGAAAAATGCTCATATTTTGCCCCAAACAATTGAGGAAAGTCCTTTTCTTCCTAGTTGTTACAGTTTTCCCATCTATCATTGCAGTGGTTTGATTAAAAGTTCAAAATTCAATGTTTAAATTTTAACCCAGCCTTTTGTGTTGACTTCATGGCTCATTTCATAGCATTTAAGCCTATAATAGGATGCCTAGACCTGTTTTTATTTTTTTTATTTTCTTCGCCCTGTCGCTTCATATTTTTTCTGAAAAAATCCGAGAACCAACAAATTAAATTGGTGTGGCCTTAGAGTCAGGCACGTCTTATATGATAAAAGCACGAGTCCTGGTTTCTTGGCAGCCTTGCGGCGTCTTACTGCGTCCAGTCACTTATTTATAAACACTGCCCTGCAGGGGAAGACTTATCCAGTATAACCTCCAGAAAGATCAACAGCGGAAACTGGGCGATGTACGCACGGCAAAATTTGTAA